TCCCCTGTATAAAATTGAGAGTTGAAGTACAAATGAATGATAAAGTCAATCCTTGTTAGTATGCAGAACAAAATGTAATGTCTACTTTTTTTTCCATTTTCTTGTTTGGACCAGGGTTACCTTCTACTCTATTTTTCGTGGGGGGTCACCATCTAATCTTCATAGGAACAATGTCGAAATAAAATGAACAACTCTAAATAAAAAAAGAGAGGGGTATTTGTCTTCAATTGAGAAGCCATTGTACACTACTACACTCAATCCATCGTCACACAACACTGGAACAGTAGGAACAGATAAATAGGGTGTAGAAACTTGCTACAACCCAATTCCGTGTTAACTGCTTGATACAGAAATTAAGCTTTGCGGGAAATTAGAATATGTAGATATAGAAACATTGTACTCTCAGCGGATTGGCGAAATTTAATCGGATAGTTCCCGCGTAAATCCTACTGAAAAAACTAATAGATGTGACTGGTGCAAGATAAAACAATGATTAAAACACACCATGCATTAGATGGAAATAATCTAAACATAACCAAAATAATGAAAGTTAATCCCAAAAAGACATATGTCCAGAAAGAAATACGCAGGAATAGAAATCTGGTGGTACGGCAAATTAGATTGAAGCCTGCAATTTGTGGTCTATTCCAGCCTTGAAGCAAGAGGGCTCGTGGGATGAGGAAATTGCTTGTTCATTGTTCCTTCAAAAACTAATGGGGGAATAAAAAGTAGAGGCGCTATAGCTAGACAGAGATTGTGGCACGGGAGAGTAAATACATGTCCTGCTGCTCGCTGGCCTTCCTAGAGATGGTGACATTGATTAGGAGAGTAAATAGACGGCCAGCTAATTGCATACCTCGCCGAATTCATTCATTTAGTGACGTGGAGAAATGAAGGAGGAGATCATTGTCGTGAAGTGGAGCGTCTCTGTGGAGTAGTAGATGGAGCGTCGAACATCAATTATTATCGAATACCTGCAACTGAGGCTGTTTTATCTTCAGAAGAGGTTGTTCATGGCCATAGATTGCAACCGGGGAAGATAAACAGTGTACATGGGAGGAGCACTGGACTGCAGCGGAGGTGAACCGCTGGGCTGTGTATGCTTGGTGTGCACTTTTTTTTTATAAGAACGAAATACTGAATCCTATATACCTGAACAAATCCAAAAGAACAAATCAACAGAGAACATACCTGAGCAGAGTACAAAACATGAACTCTAACCATACTCAGGATGTGTACTGTCCTTGCCGCAAACCGATCAGGACATAACGGAGCAGGACGTCCAACCGATATGTAGGATCCTAGCTTGACAAAAAAACTGATACCATTGGTACAGTAGAAGCTCCTCTCCGAATCAGTCGGGGCCACACCCGCTGGAGGAATTGGATCCAGCACTCCTGCCTGTTGTCGCCGTGAACGGAAGCCATGACCTGCGATGCCAACAGATCGGCTCTTCAGGAGAGATATTACTCGAGGGCAATCGAAGCGAAAAGTCCATTCTGCACCCGAGCTCATATGCTCCCGCATGAACAGTAAAATCGAAGAAAAATCGAAAAAAATTCAAAAAATTCTAATTTTTTTTTGAGACAAACATTGACAAAAGTTCTAAATGCCTGCAAAAATTCGTCATGAAATCACATTCCTAGAAGGCGTGGCAAAAAAAAACAAATTCAGTGCTTCAAAATGCGTTTGAAAGTAGCTTTTTCAGAGTATTTTTTTTGTTTTTTTTGCCACGCCTTCTAGGAATGTGATTTCATGACGAATTTTTGCAGGCACTTAGAACTTTTGTCAATGTTTCACTCAAAAAAATTTGGAATTTTTTGATTTTTTTTTCGATTTTACTGTTCATGCGGGAGCATATGAGCTCGGGTGCAGATTAGCCGCGTCCCAATCGAAGGCGTTTCTTTCTTCCGCCAGAAGAAAGAAAAGGCGACCTCGCCGCCAGGAGTCTTCCCCGCCGCCACCGTCCGGCGGCTCCCCTCCGCCGGCGGCCTCGGTCGTCGGTGGTGAGGGGGGTCGCCGGATCCACGCGCGTGGATCGTTTTCTCTTTTGTAGATTAAGATTTTAGGTCGTTCATCGTCTTGGCTTCGGCGGCGGCAATGACGGCGCTGAGTAAAGTTTCTTCGGATCCTACTCCAACAAGGCGATCGGTCCTATGGTTGGGGATGGATTTGGCAATCAGTCTGTTCAAGCAAGGATTGCGTGGCGGCGGCGACATCCTTGTGGTGGACCTGTGTCCTCGGGCTCCGCCGTTGCGACGGCGTTTGCTCCAGCGCCGGCGCGGAGCTTGGGAGGTAATCCAGGAGCGGATGCAGATTGTGGTCTACATCGGCGGCATCTGGAAGATGGTGGATCGTGTGCTGGGTTCGCGGTTCGTGGATGGCAGATGTGGTTTTCTCCTCCGGCATTCTAGTCGTGTGGGGGTGCCAGATCTAGAGTTCGATGGCGTGTCCGGGGTGTTGCCCCGGTCTGATTCGTTCAACGGTAATGGTTTTACCTTTGGTGAACCACCTTGGAGGTCCGCAAAGCTGCATGTCAGTGGTGGAGCCGCTACGAGCTCGGGTGTGAAGGTGATCTGTCACTTTTCCTTTTGGTGGCTACTGTCGTGGTTCCAGAGGCAGGTAACGGATGTTGGTGTCAAGTTCAGGGGTTTCTTCAATCTTGATTGTAATTTTACTTCTTGGTTGTTGTTCCTTTGTGCAAAGACTAGCTTTCTGCTGTCTTTTCAGTTTTGCCAGGTCGGTTACGTGACTTACTCGAAGGACGTTGGTGTCAAGCTCAGAGGATTCTTCAGTCTTGTTTGTAATTTTACTTCTTAGCTGGTGCTCCTATGTGCAAAGACTAGTGTTCTGCTGTCTTTTCAGTGTTGTCAGGTCGGTATGTACGTGGCTTGTACTATGATCCTTATGATATAAATGAGACACGTATTATCATGCAAAAAAAAATTCTCCACAGCAAATATTTCCCTAATTGCCCCCTTTTCATGTCCACCGCTCACGGGGGCTCTTAGTTCTTTAGAGCTCTTATCAAGATTCGAGACGAATTTCGTGGTTAAGTGAAATTCTCGGTTGGTTCTGGTTCCTCGATCTGATTTTGGCTCGACTGGTGGATGGGCGAGGGGCCCCTCTACCTCGCATATCCTACCCTTTTCTCGTACTACTCCAACATGTCAATCTCTATTTCAGAGCTAACCTCAGCTAATTGGAGCCTTGGCCTACGATGGACATTGTCTCCCGCAGAGTTGGTGGATTGGCAGGCTCTCACTGCTGATCTGCCGTTGCTCTCAGATACCCCGGACCAGATCTCTTGGCCCCATTCCCCTTAGGGCAAGTTCTCAATCAAATCAGCATACCTTAATCACTCTCGAGGTTGGCTCTCCCCAGGTTTCAAGGGCCTATGAGCTCAAATCCGGCTCAAAATCAAATATTTCTTTAGCAGGCCATCAGACAAAAATTGCAGGCTAGTGATCAAATTCTTAAACCTAATGGGAATGTGTCTCCCTTATGTTCTCTTTGCGGCTGGACCGAGAACACCAAGGACATTCTTTTGAACCGTGTTTCACATAAGCTTGGCTGGAGGTGTGTTTGTTCGTGGTTGAACGCGAATTGGAACCCATCATCCATTGATGACTTCCTTCCTCTAATCCTAAACCTCTCCGGCCAATTTGCTATAGTCTTATGGCTTGCTTTCGGTGCTCTTGTGTGGGCTTTGTGGACTATTCATAACAAATTTACGATTGAACATCTTTTTCCTAACAAACCTGTCGATTTTTTTTAAATGGCTGCTTTTCTTCAATAGTGGGGCCCTCTCACTATGGCCGGTGATGCTGATGCTATTGCCCTGATGGTCACCAAGATCCGAGCTTCTGCCATCGCCCTGCCTCCCCAAAGGTCCCCGATGGTGAATCTCGTCTAGTCTAGTTTCTTCTTTCTTTACCGGACCTGCATGTCCTTTGGCTTGATCCTATGAATCTATCTGTACCTAGTTTGCCTTACTTTCTGTGAACCCTGTCTTGATGACTTTATTATAAAGTTGGGCAACTGCCTTTCCTCTAAAAAAACGTCCATGTAGCTAAATCATTAAAGACAACACTTTGAAGCTGTAGTTGTAAGCCTTGCCACTCATCATTTTTCAGATCCCCAAACGATCTACGGAGAGTAAGATGACCAACACAAAGGATTTTCATAATGCTTTAGATGTTTCGCAGTGTGCATCCTAATTATGCAGAGGACGGGTGTTACTCATAATGCTTTTTTTGCGGGGTAAAGAGAGATTCTATTACTTAAGGAGGCAAATCAGCCAAACACAAGTTTTACAATGTCACTCAAACCTGAGCCCAACTATACTGCAGTACGAGGGTGCTCCTCCCATATGCAGCTAGTGCATGGCTGACTTTATTTCGCGAACGACTAATAGCAGTAATAGAAATCTCCCTAGGGTCATCAACAACCATCCTCTTGATCTCTTCCACCATCACACGGACCCTCGAGCGATCGATCGTCCTGGCGTTCAACAACATGACAGCTTCGGCCCAATCCATCTCGATCATAATGCTTTGTATCTGCTTGATGCTACATTCTGAGGTAATAAAAGCACCCTTTATTGAAAAAACAGAAAAAAAAATTAATCTCAATGAGTGCATCAATCTACACAGATCTAGGGTGTTACCGTTCTTTTTGAAAGGAAAAAAGAATGCTATTCTCAGTGAACCTTCAGGCTTCAGCAATAGTATCCGGATGAAACAGAGGCTAATGCTCACCAGGTCAAATCAGTACAAAATACGTAGTCTTCAGGTCTTCCAAAATTATGACCTGTGAGTTTACATGAAAGTTCACTCGAGAAGTTTGCCATCAACTTTGCAGTAAAACGCAGAGCATTCTCAGCTCCTAGTGACCACTCCAGACCACGCAGGCTGCCACGATACAGGGGATACATATCCATCGGCTTCCGACCAACGACCCACCCACGGCCGCGTGCGTGACGTCACCCGGCGCGGGACATGGCGTCGGCGTCTCCGCCTCCCCCTCCCCCAACCGCCGGCGCGCGGCCCAATCCCAGCATACCCTCCCACTCGTCCTCCTCCTCCTTTTCCACCGTCTCCCCCCGCGGCCCCATCCCCCTCTGCGGCGCCTCGAGGGCTTCCTCCGTCTCCTTCCAGCAACGGCGGGCATCCCCTCTCGCCGGAAGGTCGCGCCTACCAGGCCCCATCCGCTGCTCTGATGCCTCCGGCGAGGTGGCGAACTCTCATTCATTTTACCCCATCATTTTCTAATCAGATTGGTAATGTATGTGCAAGCGTTTCTTCCCGCAAGATAGAGAAGTATTTGTTCGTTTTCGGTTGACTAGATTGATGTAGGGAAACCAAACTAAAAGAAAAGACTAGATTAAGGTTGGCTCATTTGGGAGACTGTTTGCTGTACATGATGTGTTTCTCCCCTGTTTGTAGTTCAGCAGCATAGTGCCCAGTTGATAATCATGGTTTTTGCGATTTTATCTTTCAAAATGTGTGATAGCAGAGCCCAGTGTGTCCCACGTGGAAAATTTACCTTCTGCTTCTTTTTTCAAAGAAGTATGTGCATGTGCTACAGTTGAGTTCATCTGGTGTGGAAATAGGGATATTAACTGGGCTGTGGTATACTTCCACTAAAAGAGTGGTAACTAGTAAGTAGTAACTAATGCAGAAAGTTAACAAAAAAGTGTTAGACTGTTTGTTGTCTTCTTGGAACTAGAAGATAATAATTCTGAAATGCTGTGGTAAAATTTGAATTTGTAGTGTGATGAGAGTTGAGGCAATCAGCTAGTCATGGTGCTTCTTTGATTGGCAAAATCATGAAATTACTTGCGCTTTTGTTGGGTAGACAAAAGCATGTCTGAATGCGTACATCATATTCATGGAATTTATGTTGCATCGTTGAGTGTGTAACTCTGATGCAAGTTTTGATCTCTTGTAAATCCCCTACCGTAGTGACGGGCGCTGTTATGTAAAGTTTTAAACAGCTCATTGAGGTAATAAAGAATTGATGGAATTCTTTTAAAAAATGAACACTTATGATAATATAATTTAGATTTGTGTACATGTTTTTTATTGGTGCATATTCTGATCTGCATTTTCTTGTTAGGTTGACGCAGTTAATATTGAAGAAACCAAGCAGCCACAAGGAGGCTCAACCGGTATGATATTTGTGGCCCGTACTAACTTTGCTTCTCCAATTTTTTTGTTTTTTCCTAGGGCTGAATTGTTTTATTCTTTCATACAGGGGAAAGAAATAATGGCAAAGACTTGTTCAGAAGATTTTCACCTAAAGAGTATTCACAACTAACTGTAAATCCAAAGACAATAATGCATCTTCGTTTTATCTTGTCCCATGACAGTCTTTAGAACTTCATGTATATGTGTTTCATGAGCTTAACAGTTGAGTTTGCATTCTGCACGAGAATGTACTCCAGAGGGCCTCACCAAAGTTGGTGCTCTTGTATTTATTTGGGTTTGCTTGATTAGTTAGTCTTTTATGCAAATATATGTGGGCAGAAAAAAATTGCTAGGCTAGGACTAACATATAGCATATAATGGTAGTGTGAGCAATACCCTTACATTTGTAACTGAAGAACCTTGCATCATCTATCTAATTGAGGCTAACGACTCAACCCTAGTCATGGATTGTTATACCGATACCCTTGCATGTATTACAGAAGAACCTAGCACCATCTATGTAATCGAGTCTAATGAATGTCAGGTTCAAGCTCTCAAACCTTTTTCATGATTGTACCAATACGTCCCCTACGGGAAATTATACCAATACATGGAATGACATATCCTGTTTACTCTTTAAATTTTGTGTTATAAAATGATAGTTCACCATTTCTCATGTCTTATTGCTGGTTCAGGTTGCTAGAACAATTGAAGAGATATGGTGCTGCTGGAGTTTTGTCATATGGACTACTTAATACTGTGTATTATGTCACCACCTTTTTATTAGTTTGGTAAGTGTCCTGTCATGCCATCCTGTTTCTTAGTTTTACATTACTTTGAAAATGTAAAGTTTTCATCGGTCATGAGGAAAAGATCATTAATTCACTTAAATACTTGTTTCACTTCGTGCATTTCCATGAGCCAAAACAACTGCAGATGCAATAGGAGCATTGGATGGGAAGGGAGTCACTGAATGATTTGCTTTTCAGGTTCCATTTTTCGCCTGCTCCTGGTAGGATGGGCTATGCTGCAGCAGTGGAGAGGTAACCGTTGTAAATTCTGCTTTTTTAAGCAGTCTCTTCTCACTATAATGTGTTCTATACCAACTAAAGCAGGTTCCTTAAATTAATGGCAATGGTGTGGGCTGGCAGTCAGGTTACTAAAATTCTTCGCGCAGGAGGGTGAGTCAGTCTCCAACTCAGTGTATATAACTTGTTGCCCAGATCAGTGTACCGAAGCATAGTTGGATACTACTCTGCTTTTCAGTGGTAACTTGAGGAACATCCTTCAAGCCCACAAATTTTCAAATTTTAATGAACGCATTGCTACCTGTCGAAATCTGTTGCCCTCTGTTCTGAAAGACAACTTCTTTGTTTTACTCCAGAGCTCTTGCACTTGCTCCTCTTGTTGATAGAGGACTGAGATGGTTCACTGTGAAGTTCAACTTCCAGTCAGAAGGAAAGGTGAAATATGTGACATCTCCCCTTTAACTTTTCTATGGGCAGCGGTTTCTTCGAACCTAAAGGAATGGTAAGGTGTTAGGTTTAATCACCGACCTTCTAATGCATTTTTTTCCTTACATTTACCATCTTGTAGGCATTTGCGATGATCGTAGGGTTATGCTTTGCACTTGCTGCGCTTATGTTCGTTGGATTGACAGTACTTTGGGCATAGCGCATATGTTGCTGATGACGTCGATGGATTATGGCAAAGATGTTGTGGAGGTACAGCCGTACAGGCATTCAACATTCACATTTAGCTGATAGGCTTAGTTACAACATTTTCAGCATAAATATTCCTGTATCAAGGACCTGTCGGCAGTGTTCTTTAGTCCTTGTAATGCAAACAGAGTTTGTGGTGGAAATGGAATCTGTTTTGATGTTTAAACAGCCTCTGGAGTCAAACATGTTGATGTTCTTCTTTCTAGCAGCTCTGATGGATAAACTGTGAAAAAGGTCCATATCCGTGCTTCATCTACTGGTTGATTTAATCATGGTTTGTAAACTCCAAAAATAAGACAAATTTGACAATAGTGTTACGGTCAACAGGCCACAAATCCTCAATACAAAGTGAAACCGAGTTTAACCACTGTGGTTCTCTTGGAGCGGCTGTAATTGGCCAACTGATCTGCAACTCTATTCTGACTACACGGTGATTTTTCTGAGGAAAAACTCCCTACTACTCAACTCTTTGATCTCTAGAACTAAATTCCCATAAGCTGATCTAACCCTGAGGAAAAACTCCCTACTACTCAACTCTTTGATCTCTAGAACTAAATTCCCATAAGCTGATCTAACCAAACCATTGTTTGACAAAACTGAAAGTGCTTCAGAAGAATCCGACTGCACGACAACTGGGAGAGTGTTGCATGTTGGATTTCCTCTCTGCCTCGGTGGTATTGATGACTTCACAAGGTTGATTGCATCCTGACGGGTTATTTCGTCCCTTTGACCGGAAGGTGTGCTATGGGATATGGGTCCAGTTTTTTAGCACTGCCCGGACTTGTGCTACCCGGCGCTAGACCACTATGGCTGGCTGGATGGCATGTTCCGCCATCTCTTCCGTTTTCATTATTGCTGCCTGGCGGACTAGCGGGTATGCTTCATGTTTTTGCTGGTCGTACTCTTTCCTCGCCCGTCAACAGTCTGGTCGGTTCGCCTGGTTTCCTTCGGCTCATGTGATCCCGGATGGGGGTTCTCAGTTCGAACGGGTCATGTCATTTGCCGTGGGATATGCGGTAAGTTTTTCTATTAACATAGCTGGAGCATGAAATAATGAAATGTACGGAGCCGGGTGTGGGGTTGTGCCGCGGATTCCTGTTGTTGTGTCCCCTTGAACCGAAGACGTGTTCTGGGACATGGGTCCACTTTTTTACTGTTGCCCAGACTTTGACTCTTGCGGCTGGTCGGATGATATAGATGGAGAGAGGGGGGTGTTTCAGTATGGGGTTGATAAGGATGGATAGAGATAGGGGGAGAGAGTGATTTATTGAAGGAACGTTTGCTATACGTGCCACACATAGTTCGATTGGCTTCCGGTTTGTGGTTGGTCTTTGCGTGGTTGGAGATGGTTGGGGGGAAATCTTTCACAAACAAAGTATCGTGCTATCAAAAACAAGTCGTCAAAGATAGCTATGGGCAGTGACGATCATCACGGTAAATAGAAAAGTAGTACGAACATAATCATTTGTAGACAGTTGAGAAACAAATCCATCAAATGGTTCGCTTAGCTTCCAGGTTATGGTTGATCTCTACGCCATTGCCGGCGCGCCAGCCGGGTGTGCCCTTCCGACCAGGGTTGAGCGTTGCATGACCGGGCTTGCAACTCAGTTGTGCCCGATCGGCCAGGCGCCATCCAGCCAGGGCCGCACGTGCACCCTGCTCAAGGTGTGAGCGTTCCATGCCGGCCTCTCGAGTCAGGTGCACCCATTGGAATAGTAGCAAAAATGGCTGCCATGGCAGAGGTTTCAGAAAATGTTGCTATGACGGCCGTTTTGCACTGCCATGGAAGAGGTTTTGGGATCAAATTCAAATTAGCATTCATGTATTGATAGACGCAATGTGAATGTTGGGTCGCCGCTCGGAACTGTACATCGTGGGCGAATGTGACGCGTGTCGTATGATAAGATGGATAATGACCAACATGGAGCTCTAAGCCGCATCTACACCAACCGGCTAGACCCACCAGCATTTGTCTCTCCCTAGCCGCACCAACCAGAAACTAATCTACCGAACCGCACCGGAGGAGGCACCTCTAGGCTCACCAACAGGACAAGTCTACATGCTTCTAAGTAACAAAACGAATGTGGACCTACCAACCAATCCTAATACGACCGCGTATATGAATATGTGGGGAGGCAATCAGGCAACACCACACTAAGGGCCTGTTCGGAGTCTCGCCACTCCGCACGACACCGCTCCCGAAGCGGCCCGAGCTTCATTTGAAAACAACAGAGTGGAGAAACAGATGCTCCGCGGATCCTCATATTTCTCGGAGCGGTGGATTGCCGAACAGGCCCTAACATGACGACCAAGCCAACACCAAAACGCATGAATCAAGTAACACCCAGACCCGAACAAACCGAGAAGCAGCCTCTCCAGTGAGCTCCCAACCGGCCACCGACATGGCACCAAGCATAGTCAGACCCAGACAGGAAAAGCAACAACAGACACCGGTTGATATGGTAGTCATCCAATGACCGTGTAAGACTAAGGTGGGCATGCAGGTATCTGATAACGTCTAAATGGAGTATGGTAAGCTGTGAACGGTAGCGCGGTGAGTCTACGTGGAGTGGTCGGGGTATAAATTGAGCATATGAAGCATGAACCCGTGTGCATGATAGCGTTTGTTTCTTTTGCCCACTTTTTGGCGGGCTTCTGTTGTCATTTGCGCCTACTTGACCGGAAGGTGTGTCATGCTATGTATGCTCACTGGCTTGCCCATAGCTTGGGTATCGTGTCATAAAAAACAATTCGCCAGTGAAAGTTATGAGCAATGATCATTGTCAAGGCAAATAGAAACGTAGTATGAACATAATCATTTGCAGACAGTTGAAGAAAAAAATCCTTTACATACTTCACTTAGGGACTGTAGTTGGTCTCTGTGCCAATTGACACTATGGGTCATCTAGTATACATTACTCAAGAAGTGTGAAGAGAGCAAGATTACAAAAATCCTAGCACTCAACATTGAGTGACCGCTATATGAATTTTAGGCATTGCACCATGCTCCTATGTCTTTTCTAGCTGCACTTTTATGCCCAGTGGGGGAAATATGTACAAGTCGGGGTGTG